TGGTTTCACCCAGAGTTGGTATGAAGTCCTCCAAATTTAAAACCAAACAAGAGAACAAACAAATATACAACAGAAACTTCTCAAACATATATAATATGGTTATATTTATGTATACATATTTATTGTGCATATATAAAGTATATAATGGAATATATATAAATACGTATTTTTTCCTCTGTGGCATATAAGTGCAGGTTAAATGAGAGAATTGCCATGGGAATAAAAAACATATGCTTTATATATTGTTTCTTATTTGTCAAGATTAGAGACAATTTACATTTTACTTTGAAGAATACTTGGTTTCAATTATTGAATATGTTACAAAAGCTCAATGAATTGCTTAATGGTATAAAATAAAACTCAGTATAACTAGTATAAGATTCTTTATAAAAAGCCCTTTGATCTTGGGCAAGACACTTTTACCCCTTTGGGTCTCAATTTCTTCATCTGTAAAATGAAGGGCTCTGTCTATACTAGATGATCAATATAGTTCCTTCTAACTCCAACATTCTGTGCGTCTTGGCAGGAAATAGACAGCCTCTGTCTATAAGACTCTGTTTTTGACTCTTTCACTAATACAGCAAATCTTTCAAAAGTTAGACCTCTTTTCTGGAGGAGGTTAGCATGTTTTTCTGCACAACTATCTTCTATATTCTTATGGTACACCCTGGGGACTGAGGTTCAGAACAATGTGTCTGATCCCTGCAAGATCTTCAATCATACAATAAAATAATGTTCATTATAAGGTTTTCATTGAGTCAGAAATGTGAAACACCATATTGTTAAAAGATGTTCAGCAACAAGACTAATTATCTATCCTACTAATTTCTCCTCCCAATTACAACCCTTCCTATCTCAAGAAAAGAATTAGCGTCGCTCTCAGTTATCCAGGAAATGCTATTAATCACAATCTCTTATTCCCTGATAGCATTACTTAATTGAGGATGTATTGAGCTACATTGTTACTAAAAGCAAAATGTACGCAAGTGTGCTCACTTTCTCTCTATTGCATTTGTGCATGTTGTATTGCTATCACTCTTGTTCTCAAACTCAGGACTCCATTTAAAAGGAGGAAATGAGAGGGGGCGGGGGGGAAGATTACAAGGGAAAGGTCAGATCCAGTCTCTGGTCCACTTTACCTAGCCTATTGTTTTCACCAAGTATAGAAACACAGTATCTCTGTGAGAATTATGGTTGTGAAAACACAATGTGGCTAAGAATATTATTGTAGCAGGCTACCAAAGGACCACAGTATGTGATTTTGCTCCACCCTATCTATTTTTAAACTCTGAAATCAATTGCAACACTTCTCAGTATTTCAAGGTGTTCTTTCTTTCTCTGTTGAATGTGAAGAGACATTTAAAATGCATTTTAATGCTTTGAAACCAGGTGAAATACAGAATTTAAAATATTTCTTTCAATTCTAGGTATGTTAACCCTAGAGATATTACTGCTTTTTTTCCAATGTACTTCTGGAAAAATCAACATTAAGTTATTACTGAGTTAACATTAAATTCCCAAGGCTTTGGCTAAATCAAAATCAATGACCCACCTTCACTCTTTCTCCATCTTTCCCTCTTTCCTTTTCTTTCTTTCCCCCATCTGTCTCTTTCTGTCTTTCTCTTTTCTTGTTTCAGCTAGCCATTAAAAAGAAATATCCAAAGATTACTTACTATAATTATTCAACTGAATTTTATAATTCTATTTCTTAAAGTAAAATATTATTTTTATATTTATCTTACTTAAAATTGTTTTTCTATACATCTATACAATAAAATATTATGAGACTATTTTAAAAGGAAGAAGTGAATCTTTGTTTTATAACATGTTTATACCTCTACAATATATTATGAAAGAAAAAAGTTCAGGTTAGTGTGTATGTAATAAAAATCTATTTTGTTCATATATATGGTTATGTAGAAGTCTAGAAAATTATACAACAACATATAAGTTTTGGTAATCTTTGGGTGGTTAGAATTCCAGCTGATTTCTCTTTTCTTTGTTATCCTTTTAAAATGCTTTCATGCAATGAGCAGACATTGATGTTGTGACTGGAAAAATGTATTAAACTAAAACTATTCTTTTATGGATGGAATTGAGCATGGTAGAAATGGTGGTGATAAAACAGATGACTGTGCTGAAAGTCTCATGAAATTCTTTCATTTTCATTACATAGTAATTCATAAAACTCATAAAATTTGATTGAAAACCAAAAGAAGGAACTCTATTCTCATGAAGGTAGGGCTGCTAGCTGTACCATAATAAGTTATTCTATCTTTCATTCCCATTTAAAGTCCATTGATCCTTTGACAATGGCTCCCTGATTAGAGTGGCTCTTCCAGGAGGAATCCAACTCTGTTACAGATTTTTCTTCCTCTTAATTCTGACACATGAAACTTCATAGGAGATTTCAATTCTATGCCCAGTTGGACACCAGGCCTTACCTCCTCTTTCTTGCTAATGTCCATGCTCCCATCATGCTTTGCCGTAACCACCGCCAACCAGCAGGCTCTCGTCCTATAGTGCCTAAAGAAACATGAAGCTCTTAACAGGTCTTCTGCTTCCCTTTTCTCCCATTCAACTTACATGTGTTCACCCAATTCATCATTTTAAAATGTTAATTTAAATATATTAACCATATGCTGAAAAATCTATAGCAACCCTCTCTGACATGAAGAAAAAACCCATACTTCTTAGCCTAGAATTAAAAGTTCTGCATAATCCAAGCTTACCTCTTGGAGAACTTTGTTTTCCCCCAAACCCTCAATATAGCCTCTACTCCACCAGAATAGCCTACTCACTAAATCAGCCTTGAACTTCAAAACTCCCAAGTATTGGCTCTTCCCATTTCCTTTGCCTAGAATGACTGACTTGTGGTTTCCACCAGGCTGACTTCTCTTATATAAGCCACATCCAGATTCCAGATTTCAGATGTTTCTGGCCCACTCAATCCCTAAGACATCTCTCCTATTCCGTTGGGCTATGCATTATGCTACCTGACTTTTTTTTTTTAGTGCACATGGATGCATTCCCCCACTGAAATGATAAGTGTCTTAAGATTAAGGGCTATGTTTTATCTTTTGTATTTAAACTTACCTAGAACTATATATCGTTAGTAATCCTTTAGAGTTGACACTCAATAAATATTTTTTAATTAACTGAAACCTTAAGCGTCTGTTTTCTAAGCATTTTGGAAAACATGTACAAAGGTATAACACTCCACATTTTTATTTTTTATGTAAATAGTCAAAAAATAAAATCCAAAACAAGTGAGTAATATTTGAGTTAGCCACTATGAAAACCACAAAAGTAAGTTTACGTTTTTGCTTACCTTCCTATTTCTGAAAATGTCCTTTTCTCATTGAGTGTAAGTGTTTGTAGAGCATTTAAAAAGTTTGTCCAAAGCATACAATCATGGCTTGCCTCTAGCAGAAATAATGTGTGTTCCTGCTTCTCTTTGTAAATAATTGAATTTGCCTCTGAAGTTCAAGAAGTTCAAGATTTCTTTTTGTGTGTGAAACACTGCTTCTGTTTTCTCTGTACATGCAGCAGACTATAATCTAAGGCAGAAGAACGCTGTGCAATTGGGATTTGGTGAGTAGGGAGGATAATAGAAAAGATTGACATGACTTTCATAGAAGAGTTATTTTTAAGTATAGAGAATACCTATCCCTGTGCTGAAAGGGCCTTTAGAAAATATTACTGGGATTGAAAAGTGGTGGGGGCAATTCCCAGCACCTGAGAGAGCCACACCGGTCTGTGGGGTGTTGCTGCCACCTGCTGCATGCAAACAGCCATAAAGAGGCTGTTGTCTGGGTCTTGCAGCTGCAGGACACCAGATGCGTAGCCCTTCAATTAATAGTCTGTGAGCATCTGAAATTTTTCTTCTCTCAGAGCCTGGATGAGACCCAAAGGAAAATTCGTCAAATCTGGTAGCTTCAGACCACAGAAGTTTCTAGATATAAGAACCAAGGCCCATGCCCTGAAGAATACCCAGAGAGGGCTGATTTGCTGAGTAGCCACTGAACAGGTGGCTCGGGTCGTCCAACCCCAATGAAAGGCAAGGGTTCTATTAAAGTGAGTTTGTAGCTCTGGAAAATAAATGACAATTTCCCTTTTTCTGAGTTGAAGATTTTTTTTTTTTTTAAGAATTGCTTCACTTTAATGCAATAATAGATACAAGACCTCTAAATACTCCAAAAGGGGTGTTGTTCTTAGAGGAGTTAATAAATTTAGATTTTTATTGGTTTCTACTGAGGTAAATTCTTTTTAATACAAAAGATAGAATGAAATAATGGAATCCTTTCTCCAGGCTTGTAACGTGTCTCAACACATTACATTTAACAGGCCTGGTAGGTCATTAAGATGGGAAATTCTCTGCCTTTAGAATCTGATTGCTACTGCCTAGCTCTATATAGTTTTTGGTAGATGCAAATAAACTTCTGCTGTCAGAAGAAAAGGCCTCTAGCCAGCATGGTGAGAAACTTCCCTGTCTGACCCCTAGCCTATCCCAGACAAGGGGTAAAAAGGAGCTTTCACTACTTCTACCCCTAGGAAATGGTATTTCCTGCAGGAAGAAAGACAATAAAATTCAGTTTGGTAGCTGACTCTACTCCCTGTTACTTTTCAGATTTTATTAAAATTAAATGTGTTAATTCTTTATTCTTTCATCCTAGAGCAATTCTGGAAAGAAAATATATCTTAAGATTAAACAGAAAAACTATTATGAAAGACACTAAGCTCACAGTAGAGCATAAATAACTTTGTGCTCTTGAAAAGAAATGTATAAAAAGCATATTGTGAGCTGCTCTGCATGATTTCCTGTGTTCAGATTTTAGAAGCAGCTTGACTGACACAGAAATCCTGAACCAGAGAATCTTTAGATACTGAAAAGTCTTTTAAAGAAGGTGATACACAAGGTTTCAAAGAACAATTTCAACATTGTTCTGTTGAAGGTTATACTTAGCCCTGAACCACATTACTTTCCTGTCTACATTTCATTTCCTGGGGGCTTGCCAAGTGATAAACAGACCCAGGCGTGTGGTAGATTTGGGGTTTTTTAGCACGAAGAGGGTAGCTGGAGTTTGCTTTAAGACATTAATTGACTTCTGTGATCATTATGGAAAGGATGGTGTAAGGTCTTCTGGAGACAATGGAGAAAAAATGGACATACTGTGCTGTTTATTCCATCATCCAGATACATTTTGTCAGGGGTAAGACTTCCAGTTGTCCTTTCTTGTCAGGCGGGCTGCTGTAGGGGCACAGGGAGCCTCTGTTCATTTAAAATGCCTTGCGACTGTTGCTGAACTAGATCACCAAAGGGCGAATCGTTACTAAGGTTTTTCGGTTATGTATTTAAGTGGCAGCTATCGGAGAGATGTTGGAGTCTAGAAATGATTACTAATGAACACTAAAAACAAGAAGAGAATGGGTGGTTTGTGCCACTGCTCTGAGGCATTTTCACCCATCTTCTTCCTAACAAGTTCTCTGGAGTAATTGGGAAATTGTGTTTCTTGGAAATAAAATGCTTTCCAAATGGCAGTCAGAACAACTCCGGAAAACTAAACAGAATCACAAAGCCACAATGCCCAGAGATCATTGCTCAACTTTTTTTTTTCTCTCTTCAGTATCCTTTTTCTTTTGGCTATAACAAGCATTTCTCCTCCAAATACTAAGGTCTTTGGGAGTTAAACACATGTTGAATTTTAATAAGGCATGTATAGGTACAGACCTGGAAAGCAAAGTGGAGTCCTTGTGACGGTGGGAACAAGATCCTAAAGGTTCTATTTAAAAATAAAAAGAAGAAAGATCAGTCCTGCGTTCCACAGTATGAGAGTATTACAGTAAGCTTGCGTGTCTTAAGCATTGACTGTGCTTTTCAGGTATAGTTACAAAAATTTTAAGGAGAATTTCTAAATCAAAGGAGACTTTGAATGTAATGCTGTAGATAGGATCAGAGCCATATTATCAGGCAAAGAATAGCTCACAGGAACTTACACTAAACTGTACTAACCTATGCCTACCCAAACTTCTGCATCCACAAAAACATAATAATTTCCATTTGTTAAGTACTTTGGAGAGCCTTGTTTCTTCTCAGTTGCTTGTCATCTTTTTATCTTTTCCCTGTGTGAGCTTCAGTGGAACTTGTCACAATAATATATCATTTCTGTAACAGTATTCCATGTTAATTCTAAAGCTCAGGCCAACGCTATTGAAAGCATGTCAAAGGCTTGATGTTTAACATATTTTAAATGCCCTGTACCACTTGGTCAGATTGCTGATGGGAGAGACAATCTTCTTTTTTTATATCTAGTGTTTCAGAACTTGAGTAGAGATGATCCTGAGTGGAACCTCTACCTGAGGTTTTTTTCTTCCCTCTTCTCCTCAGGAGATCTAACTATTTGGAAATGAAATTCCTTTCAATTCTCATATATTGAATGTCAAATTTCTTACTCTACTCACTCAGACTGAATTTGGAAGGCAGTTTGGAGGTTACGAAAGCTGTAGAAAGACCATGGGCTCCAGGCAACTGACTTCTGTTCTTTTACTGGAGATGTGACTTAGCAAACCACTTCATCTCTCTGTGCCTCAGTTTCCCCCTTTATAAATAAGGTTAACAACATCACTCTTATCGTATGTGAGGGGGATTAAACAAGATAGCATGTAAAAGCCTCTTGTAAACATGTATTTTTAAAAGAAACTGCTATGCACATATTAGTTATTTTTGCAGTTTTAGGAAGCTTCACTTATGTGTTATAAGTAGCTGTTGATTTATAACTTAGAAATGCCAATTATATTAAATGTAAGAATAATTGTCACACTAAGTTTGCTTGTGTGTTTCAATTTTTAAATAGGCTTAATTTTATTCACAGGTAATAAGAGACCTTAAATTATTTTGGGGGAAGAACAACAAAGAAATAAATATTCAGAAGTCAATAATCTCCTCCAGTTTTCCTAAGTAAATGCCTTCTCATGTATATTGAGTCTCATGCTTCTCCATCTGAATTGTATATAAGCTCTCTTCTGTTCCTAAAGAGGCCAGGGAGAAATTTCCTCAATTGCTCCCTCACCTCACTGAAGTGATCAAAGTTTGTAATTTAGAGTCACTCCATGTGAATTATGCAAACTGATGGCTCATGTTTTTCTTTGTCAGGAGTATGGAAATTCAATGCAGAAGAAGACATTTATGCCCTACCTGGCTCTGATGTCAATCTGACCTGCCAAACACAGAAGATAGGCTTCTTGGTGCAGGTGCAATGGTCCAAGGTCACCGATAAGGTAGACCTGATTGCCCTTTACCATCCCCAGCATGGCTTCTACTGTGCCCATGTGGGGCCCTGTGAGTCACTGGTGGCTTTCACAGAAACTCCCAGGAATGTGTCGAAATGGACTCTGCACTTGAGAAACTTTTCTTCCTCACTCAGTGGAAAGTACGAGTGTATCTTTACTCTGTATCCGGAGGGCATTCAGACTAACATCTACAACCTCTTCCTTCAGACGCAAGGTAAGCATACCAGGTAGAGGGAAGGACGTGCATGCTTTCACTCAGCTCTCATTCAGTCAACAAATATGCATTATGAAACGACTATGTGTGAGGCGTGGTGCTACTAAGCATACAAAAGTTCACCAGAAAGAGATATTGTCTGGTAAGGGAGACAGAAATTGATCGAATAATTCCACAAATAAATGTAAAATCATGATAGTAATAATGACTACAACAGCCTGTGAATGAGTATATATAATAGAGACCAGCAAAATTGTCCCTGAGAAAGTAACACCTGAGCTGAAGTCTAAAGAATGAATAGACATTAACACAATTTAAGAGGTGGGGTTGGGGTGAGGTGGGGTTATGAATGATCCAAAGAGAGGAAACATCTTGCATGAAGGGCTTTTGTAGTGTTTGAGGAAATTGGAAAATGCCAGTGGGACTAGAGTGCAGAGATTAGGGGTGATGGAGGGAAGGACTAGATCATGCTGGACCTTGTCAGCCATGGTCAAGGTTTCCATTTTCATCTCAAAGCCGTGGGAAGACATTGAAGCATGTCTAACAAAAGAGTGTCATGCATTAATAGCCCGATCGTATTTGTGCTGTATCATACTAGCTTTTATATGAAAACAGGTTGAAGGGGGACAAGAAGGAGAAGGTAGAGACAGATATAGGATAAGGGGAGTATATGTGAAGGAAACAGAAAAATTGATGGTAAGTCTGGGTGTCTGGAATGCACACCTGAGTGCTGGTGCCATTCACTGAGATGAAAGGCAAAGGAAGATTTGTGGGTGAATTCATGAAAGTGGCTTTGGATATACTGTATTTAGTTCAGGGCAGGTAAAGGGGACAAGGAGGCTGCTACACAAGTAGCATTCATACCATATATACTTCAGAGGCCAGTATTTGGAGGCAAGAATTCTAAATTTAAGGTCCAGCTCCTTTCTGGTTAGAAATCAACTTGACTTGGAGCCTGTCATGTAAATTCTCTGAGCCCATTTGGAAAATGACAATAATAACATGTGCCCAAAATTACCTGGTCCTAATGTAAATGATTTCCATTTCTGCTAATGGAAAAAAATGAAAATGAATGCCAACAAATGCAAAATGTACTGGAAATAGACTTTTTAATGCAGAGGCAAAGAGGCCTGGTAATGTAAGAAAACACAACAAAAATTAACTCTTGAAGGCCTTGCTAAAGGAGACATAGAGTTACCCCAGAACAAGCAACAGGTATGGATTTATTACCTTCTCTCCATTTCCTATATCTTACCTGCTCTAAGATTATGATATTGGAACCACCCACCTGTGGGCCAAGAGCCCATCAACCACTACCTTACAGTGTCCTATTCTCTTGCTATTTTCCAGGAGGAATAAAGCAAAACAAAAACTTCAGTTCAATTGGGATGGAGTGGAGTGGGTTTGAAGTAAAAAGATATATTTAATAGAAGACCCATAGAGAACAATGTTTAGCTCACATACTTTGGAATTGGGTAGCCTGGCTTCGAACGTTGGCTCTGTCACTTACTATATATTCCGTTGTTGCCAAGTTATTTCAGTCTCTAAGTTTTTGTTTTCTTACATAACAAATATGGATAATTATAGTACTTCCTTCACGAGTATCACTATTTCGATGATTAAATGAGATAATCTGTATAAAGTATTAGCATAGTTCCTGCCAAAGGGTAGGAGTTTCGCAAATGTTAATTTTCAATTAAGAGTAGTAATAATTATATTGAGTGAATTCTACTTCTCAATTTATATTAAAAATAAGCCCTCCTCCTTCTCTTTATATATTGGCCTAATTTGGAACCCAGTGGGATATTTGCCATACATAAGCACAAGCACACATTGACTTTGACTTCAGACATAGATTTTTGCATCTTCTGCCTAAACCAGTAAAACTATAGTATTGCCTGGCTGAGGACCTAATGTTTCAGGGTCTCCATTGAGAATTGGCAACATGATTGATATACCCTGGAGGAAACAGAATATGTGATGAATCAAAATGAATAAAACAATAGAGAAGAGATACTATGTTATCCAGAAAGGAGAATGGTGTTGCCTTTAAGGAAAGTGTATTTCTTAAAGGAAAGAAAAGCAAAGGAGCTAAGCTTGTAACTGCTAAAACCTGGGAATGTCGGGAGAGGAAGAAGCCATGTCTATGTCTTTGTGGTTGGAGAATTCCCAATCTTCTGATTGTAACTTTGTTGCTATCAGCTGAATCAGAGGAAAAGCAATGGCCTCAGAGCTGAAGAAATGGTTCTGGCATTGTATATTTGGGTACAAAGGGAATACAATAGAAAAAAGCAAAACAGAAGGGGGGAAAATCCTTCACCACAGAGCGACCAAACACGCAAGGCTGGTATGTAGCTAAAGACAAGGCGTTGACTTAAAGGAGCTGGTTGCCATCCGAGGGCTCTGCCACGTGCACCCCCAATGGCTCGTCTTCTTTTCCCCTTAATCTTTTAATCTCTTGCTTCTCTTCTCACTTGAGCCATTTCCTTACTATGCCCCTGTGGGATCTTTAAGTTTACAAGCCAGTCAGGTAAGCAAAGCACATCTGAAGTGCAAACATTTATAAAGTACATAAACAAATGCAAATTGAAGTGGTGTATAAGAATCTAAATTTGAAAATGTGGAGAGACTAGAGGTGGTTGGGTTAATCACCTCTTCCTGTTTCCTTTTCCTTGTCATCTGAGCCTTTCTCCCTAGTTGGCTCACAATACTGTGTGTGTCTAAATCCTGTCCCCGTGTACCCTGAGGGTCTGGCTGAGAAGGGATTCTGTTCTCTTTTCACAATATTTTGTCCTTGTGTGTGTCTCAGTGCTCTGAATCTGTGGACGCGACTGGAAATATAATGAACAGTTTGGTGTTTGCTTCTTTCTCGTGTTCAATTGACAGGGTTTTCCCCCAGGTTAGAAGCTTTTGAGTTATTCCAAGAAATGCAGTTCTCTAAGTTAAGCCTTGCATTATTATTATCTAGGTTTCAATTTGAGTGCTAATGGATCCCATAATGCTTCAGATTATAAGATTTTGGTGCATTTAAAAATTTGTAGTTATTAGGATCAGTTACAAGAGTACAACATGGCTTTACTTTACTAGATTACAACAGAAGTCTCAGGGAGCTGTTAATGTTATTCTTGGAAAGTAGTAGGAGTCGTGGCAGAGGTCAGAAGAGAAGTACTGGTCACAGAAATAGTAATAATAGTAGCAAAATAATCTTGATAATATGTTAATATGTTCAGTCTAAATCACATGATTATCTGGTCTAGTTTGTTATTGAAACTAAATGCCAATTCTCCTCAAATTCTTGCATTTAGTCTTTATCCAACAAATATTTTTTTGAGTGTGTATAGTGCTGAGCACCAGAGACATAGTGGTGTGCAATACAGGCATGACTCAGCCTTCATGAATCATGAAGTACAATAGGAGGAGGCAAACTTTAATCAAATAAACAAATAAAGGTCAAATTTCAAAAGGGAAAGGTGTGTTTATGGTAAGGAAGTAGACAGCATATGACAGGGTATAATAGGAAAATCAAGAAATGTTTCCTGAGCACGTTGGTACTTTGAAACAAGTCTGCTGAACCTCCTCATTTGCCAGCAAATCAATAAACTCCTCTTTCCTTCTGGAAGGAAGGAAGGAAGGAAGGAAGGAAGGAAGGAAGGAAGGAAGGAAGGAAGGAAGGAAGGAAGGAAGGAAGGAAGGAAGGAAGGAAGGAGAAAAAAAGAAATGTTTCCTTGGGAAGTGCTGCTTCAGCCGTAAGGTGGAGAACACAGAGCTTTACAAAAGACAGGACATGCCAAGGCTCTGTAGTGAAAGGAAGTTATGGCAACTATAGGGGATTTTAAAAGGTATTGTGGCAGAAGCAGAGACATCAATGGGGAGGCAGTTGAAGGTGAGGCTAGAGACTGATCAGTCCAGTTAAGTAATTTTGCTTTTATCCTAATAGCTGTGGAAACTAATTGAAAGGTAGGCGGTTTTTTGTTTGTTTTGCATTTCAAAAATGCATCTTTGTGGCTCAAATGCAGAGAGTGAATTGAAGAAGGGCAGAGAGGATAGTGTAGATTATTAATAGTTAGAAAACAACAGCAGAAGTCTAGGAGAGATGCTGATATCATTAAGCAGAGTGGCAATGAAGTAGATGAAGAGGAGTGTTCAGTTTAGAAACATGTTTAGAAGATTCACCCCAACAAGATTCAGGTGTGGGTTGCATATGTGAAGGGAGGAATAGAAAGCAGTGTCAAAAACAATGCTTTCATTTCTGGTATATTAGAACAACAACAATAAAAAGAAATGAGTTACTCATTGTGTTAGGGAACACTGGAAGATGATCAGATTGTACAGGCATTATTTTGGGTTTGATTTTCTACTCAAATAGGAGTTGAAGTTGAAATAGGAGTGAAGTTGAGACACTCAGGAGATGGTAGGCAAACAGCTGGATGGATGTACAATTCCTAATCTAGGAAAGAGGTTTAAACTAGAGATACAAATTGGTGAGTCATCTGAGTGTGGGTGCTAACTAAAGTTCTGGGAGTAAAACAAATCATCTAGGAAGAGAAAATAAAGTGAGAAAAGTCATGTGACACTTCAACAGAGTCCATGGTGATGGGTGGAGAAAGACAGTCTTTGAGGGGTAGTGCAGAGTAACTGAAGAGGCAAGAATAAAATCAGGGATGAACTGGGTTACAGAAAGCTAGAAGATGACATTGCATAAAAGGAATAGCCACTAATTCCAAAGTTTTTAAGAAGATAAAGTAGGTATTGGATTGTATTTTGGAACATGGAAGTTTTGACCACCTAACAGGAGTTGTTTTGGTGGCATTATGGAAGGGAAGTCAGACTGGAGGGACAAGAGGGGTAAGTAGGAAGATAGACAAATGGCCAACAAATGTATGAAAAAATGCTCAACATCACCTGTCATTAGGGAAATGCCTACTACATTTTCTTCTAGAAATTTTATGGTTTCATGACTTACATTTAAGTCTTTAATCCATCTTGAATTAATTTTTGTA